TCAGCTGCACCCATCCCATAGGATGAGGAGTCTGCAGGGGCAAGGAGACATGCCCCTCTTCTAGAACAAGCTCCAATTACCTGAAAACCTGGAATCCCTGCCTATTCAGCCTTGAGCCTGCTCCTAGAACCTTGAGGGTTCTCTTATTCAGGTTCAAAGGGAGAGGGGCAAGGGGCAGCTATTTGAGTGGTGGTATGAATAGAGCTTGGATAAGCCAGCTGGAGTGTTCACACACGTGTGTCCAAGGCTCATGATGGTGCAGGATGGAGCCAGCAGTGGAAAGAGAATCAGAGTGCCTGTAGACCAAGGGCCAAATATCCCCATTTGGCTAGCACAGAATTCAGAGGAATCTAAGAGTTCTAAATTCAAAGCTGTCTTCTAGTTTGTTTTGAAGGCATATTTGTCAGAAGAGGAGGATAAAAGGCCTTTTGTTTAACAGTTTGTTCGCTGGATTTATTTTGGCCTGTGGTATGTGAGCCTCCACCTATACTCCTGCCCTACGGTCCATAAATGTTAGGGATGGGTCTATTCTCTGTGGAGACAGATGACAATTAAATAATCACACAAAGAAATGCACAATTGAACTAGGGTGCTAAGAAAATTATACGCCACTGAGTCTCTCCTAAAATGCTGAAATTGAGCTCCATTCTCATTGCATCTTTGGGTTTCCAGATTCCCCTGAGCCCTACAAAGCCCTTCTCTTACTCCCCAAGGACTCAAAACATTGGCTAAAGTATTCCACACTACTCTTGCCCCTAATGAGCACAGAGCTCCAGGGAAGTGAACCCAAGAAGAATAAGGGAGGCAAACCAAGCCTGTTAATCTCTTCCAGACTCGCTTCCTGTCTTCCACTGGGTCCAAAACAGGTGCCCCCACCATCACTGCCATGGATTTCATCTTTGTACCCACCTCCAGGTGCTCCACAGCTGACCCAGCCTAAGAGGTGTTTTCACATCTCTTATGCTTCCAGCTGTCTAAACTCAACCTAAGTCTATTTCTTCTCATTTGGTCTTCAGCCCCAACAGAGAAGCCTTCTCTGACTAATTGGGGAAAAGGTAGCAAATTCCTCCACTTGTCTCTCTGAATAGGAATCCCACACACTAGCCGCTTTTAAACATGCATCTCTTTCTTGTACCAAATGTTACTGTAATTCACCTGCGACTCACTGTCTGTGTGTTCTTGATCTCTATCAGCCTCTGTGATGTCTAGGCTAGATTGTGAAACTCCCAGAGGGCAGGGCCACATCTGCGCTGTGTCTCCAGACCCTGCTCCACAGAGCAGCAGGCATAAGTAGGCACTTAATAAAGACTTTTGATGATGGAAACAGAGAAGCAGCACTCTGTGCCTAGAGCATTGTGAGAGCACAAGAAGCAATCTACTATCACAGCCAGACCACAGCCACAGCAGTCTTCCTGCCAGCCTGGGACCTGGGCACATTTTTCCTTTTAAATGAGGCAGGGGGAGCACTCTCTTGCCTCTGAGATAACAATGACAACAAAACACTGTGACAGCACTCCTCTAACCTGATGATCAGAATGACCTTATAAATCGAAGACTGTCATTATTCTCCTGGTTTTACAAATGAGGAAGCTGAGGTACAGAGGCTGTGCAACTTGTTCAAGCCTCAAACTGGGGCCATCTGGCTTCAGAATCTCAGCTTGCCTCATGGTACACTGCTCCTTAAAGTGAACTAGTGCAGCTTCACCCAACCTGAATGAACGGCTCAGAGGAGGAGAATGGCTACTCAGCAAGCTGTCCAGCGTGGAACCAAGTTGGCTCTCGTAAGCATTTTTTCACACCCCATCCCCCTCCCTCCTGTCCTCTCTTCTGTTTCTCAAACATGCTAAGCTTGTTCACAGTTAGGGCTTTGAACCTACTCTTTCCTCCACCTGGAATGCTCTTAGCCCAGACCTAGGCATCGCCGGGTCCTTCTCATCGTTTAGATGTCAGCTCAGATGGCACATTCGTAGGAAGGTTGTTCCTGATCACTCTATCTATTGTAGCTGCATGTTTCCCAAGCCCTCCATTCTTTCATTATTTCCTATTTTACTTTCATTTTCCTCTTTTACTTTCATCATGGCATGCAACACCATCTGAAATCACTTTGTTTATCCACTAGTTTACTTGTCTATTTCTGTGTCTCCACTAGGACATCAGCTTCAGGAGAACAGAGATCTCGTCTGTTTTGTTCACTCCTGGATAGTCAGTGCCTGGAACAGCATCTGGCACACTGTAGATGCACAGTAAACATTTGTTAAATAAATGCACGCATGAATGAAGGGCTGCAAAGTCCTTTATAGATATGTGCAAAGGTGGAACTAGCTGGCTCCTTCATTTGCTCCTCATCACATACATTACAAGCCCTTGGCAGGAAGAGACCAATCTTCATCTTTGGCAGTCTTTTAACCCATGGAGCAGTGGCGAATGACTGGGGAGCTGTTCAGTTCCTTTGTTTGGGCAGAGAAGAGACCAAGACATTCAGCTCCTGAGATTGCAGACTGTCTGCACTCCTTCAGGCCCACATGTGGACAACTGCTGGACAGCTCTCTCCCTGACCAGCTCTCTCTCTCTCTCTCTCCCATCTCTAGAGAGTTTTCCCCATCTCCTCCCCTTTGTCTCCCTTCCTCGTTGAAATGCTGTGAAGGAAAATGAGCAAAAGTGGGGAAATGTGTCCCCCACATCAAACACACATTACTCTTATTACTACTATGACTCGATCTCATTAAAATCTCCTGGCTCCTGCACAGATAAGGCAGACCCCAAAATGTAATAATCATATACAGGACGTGCTTCATTTGATCCAGTCTTAATGCTGACATGACCTCCTATTCCTCCCACATAATAATAGAGCCCATTCCTTTATTGATGTTAGCTTTATTATTCAATGCTTTATGTATGACACATCATGAAAAATAGCAAACAAGAAAGGAAAGCTCCTGACCTCCAACCAGACCCTGTATCACGTGAGGATATTTCACAATATTCCTAGTCATCCATTTCTTTTTCTTTTTTCAACAAAATACTGCTTTTCCATGACGAAAATACATGCCACTATATATTAATTCCCTTCAAGGCATTTTCACACTCATTATCTTCTGGATCTTCCCAATACGCTTATAAGGAAAGAAGGGGGGCACAAAAAGGTGTCTGCAAATCACAGAAGTTGGAAAAGGGGCCCAGAGGCACACAGTGATTTGGAAAAGTTCCCACAGTAGGTGCAATATCATCCAGAACAGGCTCCGAGTCCTGCTGCTTTCTAGGGACAAGGGTGCTCTTGCCAGAAGCCACACTCCTGACAGCCCCTGTGACATACAGACCTGAGCCAGCCAATATGGAAGAAGAAAGAAATAGTTTAAGGAATTAGGAAGCTAAATAACTCTTTCTTTTAGGAAAGATGAGGCTCCCAATTGGGGCAAGATGCTGACAAGGAGCACCCAAAAGTGAGGCGTCACTCTGGCTCTCAGTCAAACCACCCGATCTTGTGTCTCTGCTGGAGATCTGGCACTGGAAGTGGAGAGAAGGGTTGAAAGAAGGGCACTGAGCAGGCACGCTGGACCTCCTCACCTGATGGGATTCCTCAGCTCTGGGTAGCACTTCTTCTGGGACTTCAGGCAATCCTAGCCACGAGAAGGAAGAACCCAGCCTTCAGCCTCTCAGAGATATTTATTCATGCTGAGATCTACATAATCTCCCTTCATAATGCCCAGGCTGTGTCCCCAGTCATCATCTGTCCCTGAAGTGACTTGCCCATTCAGAGCAAAGACAAAATGAATGAAATTGTCAGCTAAGCCTGCCTCTCACAGAGCAAGCCCTCAGCAAGAACCAGAGCCACTCAGAGCACCAGTCCGGCATCCTACTGCACTGCATCTTGTTCAAGGAGCACCCGGAAGTCTTCTCTCCACTTCTGGGAAACCACTGAAGAAGTGGCTGAGTGACCATATACCCCTCCCCAGGGTGCACCTGAAGCTTCCTTCTCCAGCATCACTAACTAGATCAGATTTTCAGGTGAGCTCTTTCTATCTGGGATTCTCCGGAAAGTGTTGCCATGATTCATGACGCTTGGAGAATGTACACATGCTATCCAGCATTGCAGAAACTACATTAGAAGTGGAGCTGAAAGGGGTGGGGTGAGGATGTCTGTGAAAATCTTAATAAATGGGGTAGGGAGAGGCCCCAGACTTGGGAAGATGCTGGTCCATGAGGTACTTGGAATGCCCTATCCTGGATGGAGAGAGTATAAGGGACATTCTAAGTTCCTGTGCTTCAAGCCTGAGAAGGGGAGTAGATATGACAAGATTCCCTACTCCCTTCCTCATATCCCTTAAACTCACTCTCACCTCACTTACATACTTGCTTTCAACCTAGGAAAAACTTGAATCTACCAAGAAGTGTCTTAGCAAACTGTATAGTCTTCTTGGACCTAGAATTCCTCTCCATTTCTTCCTCAGTGACTAAAACACACTGCTGAGGATATCAACATAATACAGGAGAGGGTAGTCTCAAAGTGAAAGAACAGGCACAGGCCTGTTGGGTTTCAGTCTATGAGAACAGGGGAAGAGGACAAGATGCCCGCACTCTTAGAGAGGGAAGAAGTTGTAATCTGGGATTGAGGATGGGCTGGGGAAACAACAAATAAGAAAAAAGGGTATCTTGGCAACAAGCATGAATGTACCACTAAGTTCCTTCATTTCATCGCTTCTGAATTCTGTATCTTCTATTCTGAGGATGCCTATGGAATTTTTGGATTGAATTGAAAACACTAGCATTGGAAGGAAAATGCAAAAACTTGGGTACAGCTGAGCCACCAAACAGGTTCCACCAGGAACCAGACACTTCTTGGGCAAACTTAACCATAAGAAACATCATTGAGGAGCCCTTAAAACTTATAGTCCTCATGCTAGAGACAGTATAATGGTTTCCCAGGGCAAGCAAGCAAGTAGCAATCTGCAAGACCTGGGGAGATACCACAAGGAAGCAGGAGAAGGGAAAAAGGGTCTCACCTGTTCTGGCCCCTGGAAACAGATGCGGCAGAGCGGGGTCCTCATGCCACTGTCCAGGCTGCTGCCCAGTGAGTAGCGATCTTCAGCCTTCCCCTTACAGAAGTCATCTGAGGAGGCACTGCTGAACAGTGAGGCAGGTGGCTCTGTGGCTGTTCCACCCCAGTCATCTTCCACAGAGGGTGGCAAAGGTGGAGGAGGTGGCAGAGGAGGGGTCTCCCTGCCCACCCCTTCTCGAGGGCCCCTCCAGCCTGCCCACCCCCCGGCACCCAGAGCCGGAAGGGTGTTGTTGTTGGCCGCCAAACCGGGGGGCTGGGGGTCGCCGTGCATGGGCAGGGGCGCTGGAGGGGGGCGCCGCAGTAGGAAAACCTTCAGGTCATTGAAGAGCATGCGGCAGCGGCACTTGAGGAGACCCTGGTGGCGCAACATCTGGGGAGCCGGGGCGCACAATCCACAGGGGTACCAGGCACAGCAGCAGCAGCACCACCACCACCAGAGCAGCCCACTCAGGGGCATCAGCATGTGCCCAGTGGAAGCAGAGAGCCCAGGAGGGGCAGGTGGAGTCTTTGTCGAAGAGGATAGGATGGTTTTGGGGAGTCCACAGCGTGTCTGTGTTATGAGGGGAGTCTGCTTTCTCACTGGCCCCTCTTACACCCCCTCCAAGTAGCAAGTAAATTGCCCCCAGGACTGAGAACTGTGAGTCACTGATTCTGAATTCTACCTGGAAAGTCCAACAACAACAACAACAAAAGTTTTTCCTGACCTCCTCCTACCCAGACCTCAGGCTTTGCTCAGGGTGTCTCTTTTCTGCCTTTGACCTGGGGGCACCAGTAGGGGTAGGGAGATAGAAAAAAATGTTGAGGATGGGCTGTTAGGGCCTTGGGATCAAGATATAAGTGTTAGAAAGTTCCCCGGAAGAGGATGATTGGGTTCTTCTCAAATTCCTAGGCAGTGGAAAATCTGTCTCTTTTATACAAAAGGGTGGAGAAGGTTATATGTCAAATTTGGAGTGGACTGAGCCAGGCTTAGAGCAAACTAGCTCAGGAAAGAATCGAGGACTGTATGTTCAAGAGAGAAAAGATAGTTTTTCTCAGGTAGCAGATCCGGGGTGCTAAGTGGGGGAAGACAGGAGGTTGGGATAAGTTTTAATTCTCCTGGGCAGAAGACCGGGGCAATCAACCCCCAGAAGCACCAGAGTTGCTTTGAAGAAAGCAGTTGGGCGCAGGGAAGGGATTCAGGTGAAACTGGGCAAGGGGCTTGTGCTTTGCCTCTGCAGCCAAAGGGCTGCACAGAAGAGGGGAAAGCCAATTAGGAGACTAGAGGTGGGAAAATAAGGGACTGGGGAGGGGGAAAGGAAGAGGGGAAAAAAGAAAAGATGGTTTAACCCTTGCTGAGCCGCCTTCTTCCTGAGCATTAAGATCCTGGCGAGAGGAAGGGTGTGTGTACGGGGGGGCGGGCGGCAGGGGAGCAGAGAGGAGGGGCGTGTGGGGGGGACAGGAGGAAGGAGTAGTTACATGATCTCAGCCCCCAGCCCACCCATGCGGCTGTCTGTAAATCCGTGGCCCCTTCCTCTTGGCTCCATCAATGGTTCCGTCGGGCGAGGGGCAAGGTCCAGGACAACTGCAGGTCCGGGGTGAGTGGCCTCGCCTTCTCCTCCTGTTCCGCCTCTGGGCCGTTGTCGCCCTCCTCCTCTTGCTCCGGATCTGCCCGCGGCCGCGGACACTGCTGTGGCGGCGGCGGCGGCGACTGCTCTTCGGCGTCCCGGTGTCTCCGGGGCGGGGGCTGCTCCGGCTCGTCCTCTGGCTGCTGCTCGCCGTCCGGCGCGGCCGCGACTCCCGGCTTCATGATCCTCCTCCTCCTCCTCCTCCTTCCCGGGGGGCCAGCCCTGAGCCCCCGCGCCCGGGCAGCGCTGCCATGCAACCAGAGGCCAGGCAGGCGTAGAGGTGGGGGCGGCTGGGGAGTGAGATGAGAAAAAATGAAATAATACTAGTAGAATAATAATTCAGTTCTCAAATAATCAGGAAAGAGTGCTTCTGGAGGGGTGGGGGCGGAGGAGGGCGGCTGCCAGGTCTTCACGGCAGCTCTGCCCCGGCTACCCCCACCAAGGGCAGCCTCGGCCGGCTGGCTGCGCCCCCACCTCCCCGCCCCTCCCTCCTCTCCGCTGCCTCTGGCTGGCTGGGCTCGCTGTTGCTACCTCTCCTCGCAGATACAACGAGGTAAGGCTTGTTTGCTCTGCCAGCTGAAGGTGGGGAGGGGGAAAAGAAGCAGTGTGGCCGAGGTGGGAGGCAGCCAACACTTGGCTCCGGCTTGGTCCTCGCGACTCCCCAAACCGTATATAAATATATCTCTTATAAAAGGCGAGAGGAAGCAAATCAGATTCCAGGCTGCTGCCAGGTGTTGTCTCGTCTTCCGCCGTTGCTCAGCACCCGCCGCCGTGGCTGCTGCCCCCCTGGCTCAGTTCCCAAAGGGGTGGCGCTGAGAGGGAGGTAGCGGGGCGGCGAGCTGACCGTCCGCGGACTGGAAACAAGGTTCTTGGAGCAGAGAAGGCTCTCAGCTATCGCCGCCGCCGCTGCTGCATTCAGCACCCCGGGCGAGTGGACAGCTCCCACCCAGACCGCGCGCGTCACCGGAGTGAGGGCCTGACGCAGACGCCGCGGAGGGATGGAGGAGGGAAAGGGGTCGAGAGGAAAAGGGGCGAGAGGAGGAGAGAGGCACTGTGAGAGGGAAGGGGATGGGGAGGGACCAAGGGAAAGGGAAGGAAGGAGTAGAGGGAGGGATTTAGGAAGGAAGGGAGGAGGGAGCAGAGTGGAGGAAGAGGGAGAAAGTCAAGAGGGGTGGAGGGGAGCATTCAGGTACTAACTCGTGCATTTCTCCCTAGTGGAAAGTATCAGTGTAGATAGTACAGTTGTAGAATTTCTTCCCACTGTACATTGTCACCGCCCCCCTCAATGCACAAACACAGAGACTTACCCATGTTAACCAGAGTCCATTTCCCTCCTCACATAAACATTTTAAGCAGGTATCAGTCTGCAAACTTTGGAGGAGATAAAGTACTGTGATTCTGTCACTGACCACTGGGACTTGCTGGAGACTAAGACCCTCAAGACTAGGAACTCACGAGAAGGAAATACTTTGAACAGGGAGGCAGATGCTAGCACCATTTTTGTCAATTTCTTCTTAGAATTTAAGCTCCAAAGGCAGAGATGGGGGGGGGGGAGCACGTCCATTTTGATCCCATGTGTGTACATCAGTGATGGCATATCATAGGTGCTTGATACATATTTATTGAATGGATTATGACCACTGTCAACATCATCACAGTCATCATTAGTCCAAGTCATAGACCTATTTCAACCGTAAGTCATAAGAATCTAGAGCAATATTACAGCTTCATCTTAACCACTATCTCCAGTCTTTCACTGAGGGACTAACAAAAGGTAATTTGAAATGGATTTTAATTTCCTCTCTTATTTCTGCTTCTAACTCCTGTCACTCTACCCTGTCCTTCTCAAGGAGCTGCTAGTGAGCAGAAAACTGTCCCCAAATGTAAAGAGCAAGACAAAGAAGAAAACTTGAAGTGATCTGTACAAACACTCAGTATTTGCATCATTGCTTTCTTGCCTTTCCTCATAAACTCCTCTCTGTCTCTCTCTGTCTCACACACACATACACACACACACACCCTTCCAGGGTCATAAACTTGGACAAGCTATCCCAATGAGTCATCTACACAGCTGTGGTAATGTCTTTAGAAACGTTGGAGCCATAGACAGAGCAGCATGCAAAATCTCTGCACCAAAATATCATTGGCATGAAGTTAAGCCCTATGAATCATAAGAAAACCACCCCTTTGCTGCTCTCTTCTTGATTGATTCATTCCTACAAGCTCTAAGGAGCAAGGAACTAAGTCCAGGTCTTGGTTGACCCAGTGTGGCTGCTTGTTTGAATCATGCCTCAGTAACCACCAAGGCTGTTGAGACTTGGCCCAAGGTGAGTGATTTGGAGATGACACTGATGCTGTTAATAACTACAAAATAATGTATATATTATTGATATCAGCATGACCACTGTACTACAAAAGAGAATTTCTTTGTTTAAGAAAAATCCATTTGCTCTCAAAGAAAATTCTCTGTGCTCCACATCACCCTGTGTTGCCTCTAACATTGTGCAAATCACACTCTAGAATAATGATGTCATTATACATTCATCTTCCTTTACAAGACTCAGAGCTCCTTGAAGCCAGGGACCAGTATTTATATTTGTATCACCAGCACATAGCACAGTGCCTAACGTCTGGTGGGTGATCAAGAAAATGAACAGTGAATGAATGAATGGCCTTTTTGTTTCAGTGAAGCTACCATATTTCTCCCCTTCAACCTAGACACATACATGTGAGTGATCTATATATGACTGAACATCTGCTTTACCTAAAATTGAGTTTCAGGGTTTTGTGCTCATAAAATGCTAGTCCCAAGTGTGTCATGCAAGTAAATTGGGGCAGAAGATAGAAAAGCCATAGGAAGCCTATATTCAGAGTCATAGAAAGAAGCAATATTCATAAGAAGACTGTCTTTCAGGCTGGCCCGGTGGCGCAGGGGTTAAGTTCGTGCATTCTGCTTGGGCAGCCTGGGGTTCGCCGGTTCGGATCCCGGGTGCAGACATGGCACAGTTTGTCCAGTTTGTCAGGGCATGCTGCGGCAGGCATCCCACGTATAAAGTAGAGGAAGATGGGCACAGATGTTAGCTTAGGGCCAGTCTTCCTCAGCAAAAAGAGGAGGATTGGCAGCAGATGTTAGCTCAAGGCTAATCTTCCTCAAAAAAAAAAAAAGAAATAGAAAGAAGACTGTCTTTCCCAACATTTCCACTGAAAGCATAAAGATTTCTAGAAATAGAAAACTGCTAAGGATGGGAAGTAACAATAAGATTGTCTTCAGAAAGACTGAAAGCCTTGAGACTCCTGTTTTGAATCTGACGTAAATCCTGAAAAGCACCTCACTGAGTTAGATTCTCCTTACACTAATGATGAAACAGTGGTTGTGAGCCCCAAGAGTGAAAGCCACAATAAAGAAAACATTAAATCAACGGGTCTCCATTTAAGCATTAAAAAAATATTTACTGAACACTAATCATAGGCAAGGCATTGTGTTGGAAAATATGGAGAACAGAACAATGAATTGGCTGGAATTGCATCCTCAAGGGTCTAGTGCTATAAATATGTACATAATCATAATATAAGGTATAAAATGATAGAGGCTACAAAGGCATAAAACGTCTGGGGAATATTTAGAATAGGGATGTAATGCTTATGGTTTGGCAGCAATTAGGAAAGGTAGGGGGAGGTGGAAATGCCAGAGCTACAGGAAAACGTTTTCAAAAAGTGACATGGAGCTGAGTTAAAATATGCATGTAGAATTCAGAGGAGGGAAGCCTATTTCCAGCAGTGGGAACGCTGGATACTTTCGTTCTTCCGTTTGACTGGAGTGGAAGGTGCTTGAAGGTAAGTAGCTTGGAGTCAAGTCAGAAAGGTAGGCAGGGGCCAAATCACAGAAGGCTCTGAATGCCACTTTAGGAGAAGATTTATTCATTGACCAGGTACTTGTTTTAATGGTTTTAAAGATTTGGAACTGAAGGTGAAGGGCAGAAATAAACTCCATCTCTGAGTAGGTTAATTAACTGGACGGGATTTCATTGCTAACAGGTGAGAAGCAATCAATATTTTTCATTTCACGCCAGAAAGTTCTCAGCTCCTTAATAGATTTATTCTTTTAAACAAGGTTGTTTTCAGACATATTTCATTACATACGGAGATGCTGAGGTCATATGAATTGGAAGAGCAGAGGAATGAGAGGCTCCAGGAATAGTCTTCAGAAAGAAATATTAGGAGATGCAGAATTTCAGAGAAGACTTATAATGGAGGCTGTTACACTGGTTTCTCCAACCAGGGGAGCCCTAAAAAGATCCCATGCTAGCTGCGATTGTTTTTTCTTTACCTAGACTGAGAGTACTCAGGCTAGAAGGCATTTTACAGAGGCTGAAAAAAAAGAAGTCCACAAAGATTGGGTGGCTCTGTGCCTAGGATCCCACAGCAAAGGAAGTGTCAGACGAGATCTAGAACTTAAATATTTTCCAATCCTCAATACAGTTTGCTTTCTACTATATCACAGTCAACTCTCTTCAAACATATAGTTCCTCAAGAATAATTTCAAAACTACTATTATTATGTGCATTATTAATAGCCACCACGTACTGAGCCACACATCTTTCTCATATGTACTTAGTTACACCTGGGCACTTGTTCATAGAAATTCTTGGGTTCCACCCCAAGTTTACTGAATAAGAATTTCCTGGGGAGCATCTTGGAAATCTGCATTTTAACAAGAGCCTTGCCCAAGTGATTTTTTGATCCTCAAAACTCCTTAGGTGGTAGGTATTTTCCACATTTTTTGTAGGAGAAGACTGAGGCTTGGAGAAACTAAGGTTATACAGTTGGCAAATGCCAAAGCTGAGATTCTAATAGAGGCCTCTCTGAACCTAAAGTCTATGCTTTTCTTATGATGCAACACTGCTTTTTAAATCAAACTTCCAGGTGCCACATAGAATCCCCACACAGTTATTTTCTGTCTGCCATACTGTGTCCCATGTCAAAAGATAATTCAAAGCTCAGGCTAAGTTGTGGTAGGCAATTTCTACAAAGGCTCCCAATGATCCCCACCTCCTGGTATTCCTTCCCTTATGTAATCCCTTCCTTTTGAGTGTGGGCTGGACCTAGTGACTTCTTTCTAATAGATAGAATACAGTGAAAGTGATGAGATTACACTTACAAAAGACCGTGACTTCCATCTTGCTCTCCCTCTCTCTCTGGCTTCTCTCACTCTCTCACTCTGATGGAAATCAGCTGCCATGTTGTGAGCTGCACTATGGAGAGGCCCATGTGGTGAGGAACTGAGGACAGCTCCAGCCAACAGCCAGTGAGGAACCAAGGCCAACAGCTCACAAGGGACTGAATCTTGCCAACAACCATGTGAGTGAGCTTGGAAACAATCCTTCCCCAGTGGAGCCTTGAGATGACTGCAGCCCTGGCTGACATCTTGATTGCAGCCTCTGAAAGAACTTGAACCAGAGGACCCCACTAAGCTGTGCCTGAATTTCTCACCTACAGAAGCTGTGAGATAAATCTAGTTATCTTAAGCCCTCTGTACACTGTCACAGCCCTCACCCCCAGCACACGTACACAGAGACATCTACTTCTCAACCGGAGTCTATTTCCTGCACATAAGCATTTCAAGTAGATATCTGTATGCAAAGCTTGGAAGAGACAAAGTTTTGGGAACCTCTCATTGGACCTGAGGACTTGGTGGAGACTAAGAACTCACGAGAAGGAAATGCTTCAGAAAGGGAGGGAGATGCGAGCATCATTTCCTTCCATTTTCTCTTCTAGAATTTAAGCTCCATGGAGGAGGGAGTTGTTTTTTTGGTCCATTTTGATCCCACGTGCCTGCGTCAGTGATGGCATGTAGTAGTGCTCAATACATGTTTGTTGAGTGAAGTATGAGCAACATTACAACGCCCTCTTAACCAGTATCCCAGCCTCCTCCTTATCCAAGCCTTTCACTGAGCCACTAATAAGGGGGCATTTGAAATGGATTTTAATTTTCTCTCCTATTTCTGCTCCTGACTCATGTCATTCTACCCCCCCCCCCTTCTTAAGGAGTT